TCACGGAAATAGGGGGGGGGAAAGACATGGTGAAAATTGTAATTTTCAGGAAAAAGGGGGGTACTTGAAGGGGAGAAAAAAACCCGCAATCAAGTAAATTTCGGGGAACAAAAAAACCAGGGCGGAAAAAAGGATCCTCCAAGGGGAAACCCCGGTTGAAAAGCTGGGGAAGGGGTACAAAAAGGGTGTTCCTAGACAAAAGGACAGAAAAAAAAACGGAGAGACAGCAGCTGGGGGGAGGAAAAAAAAGGAAAGGGTAAAAAAAAAGAGACAAGGAGGGAAACCCCGCAGAGGTCAGTCAGGGGGAAAAAACAGAGCAGCAAGGGCAAGCACACCCCAAAAAACTATCCTAGAACCCAAAAAACCTTTTCCCCAAATCCCAACCCCAAATAAAACCCATACCACCAGCTTCCCCCCAAACCCCCCAACCATGGGAACCCACAGTATGCTACCAGGTCCCCCCACCCCCACAGGCCCCCCAAACCCACAGTTTTGGGAAAAGGAAAAACAAAAAGGTTTATGGTACACAAACGCTAAATTGGGGGAATAACAAACAAGTGGGGGGAAGGGTGGCCGAAAGAGTCAAAGGGGAAATCCCCCAGACATAATAGCGATCACGAAACCAGCTTACAGGTATGAAAAACAGAGCCATCTTTCCAGGGGGGATCCCAAGATCCTGAGAAAGACAAAAGGAAACAGGGGGGGGGGGAGTGGCTTTGTTGATCAAAACCCGTTTGGAATTTTGATGAGTGGAGAGAGGAGACAGCGGAGAAAAAAGGGGATTACATAGGGGGAAAACGTTTAAACTCTGGTGGTCCCAAGGTGGAAAAATTGCGTTTATGTATAACCCCCAAAAAGGGAAAAGAGGAGGCCAAGGCAAGAGTAGACGAGAATAATAGAGCGATGGTTGAAACATGGTGGATTTGGGGGGAAGAAGGGTCATGCATTTCAGGGCAAAGCTCCGATCATGGGGACTTTAAAAACCCAAGGAGATCGATTTGGGGGAATTGGGGGCCCAAAGGGGGGGCCAAAATACATGGGGGGCTAAAATGATGGGGTGGGGGACTGGAAAATTTTATGTACCAAAAAAGTAAGGGACACTAAAGAGAGAGAGGAGAGGATTTAAAACCCGCAAGACTGGATTGTATTCACCTTGGTAGTTTTCGGGTTTGAGGGCATAAATATTTAAAGGGCCCCCTTGGGGGCCCGGGTCATGTGGTTTTTTAGCTTCGAAAAAACATTAGGCCCACAAGTGGGGGGGGGGGGGAAGCAGGAAGGCCCGGGGAAAAAGAAACCAAACTTCAAAGGGGGGGGGACTCCCCGGAATGAGGGAAATTTCCCGAATGAGGGGTTTAGTTTGGGGCAAAAGGGCCCGGCAGGGAAACCCCCTTTAAAGAGATGATGGAATAAGGGAGCAAAATGTGAAGGAGGTGAGGAGTGGTTTTTTACCCAAGGGTAATAGGAATAATGAAAAAGCCCGGAAGGCCCGGTTCACCCCCAAAGTGAAGGAGGGAAAAAAACCAAATGTGCTAGGGAAGGGGAAAAAATATAGAAAGGGGAAAAACCCCGGAGAATTAAGGGGGAGCAGTCGTTTTGAGCCAGAAAAGAAAAATGCCCCAGAAAAAAAAGGGAGGCCCCAAAGTCAAAATGAAAAAGGGAAAAGAAACAAAAGCCCAAAACTGGACTCGGGAAACTGTTATACGCCCCCATCAGGGAAAAAAACAACCGTTAAGGGGGCCAAAGGGAATCAGGCTAAAGGAAAAGGGAAAGGGGGAGAGGGCAACCTTTAAATGACCTGAAGTATTGAGGAAATCAACAAGAGATTCAAAGAATGTTCACAGGGGAGGGCAGAAAGGGGCTCCCGAAAGAGGAGAGGGGGGGTACACCACCCATGTGTGGGGCACGTACACCCAACCCAGGAAGAAATGAAGAGGCTTCTGAGTGAAGTAGGGTACCCTCAAAGGCAATTGGGGGCCAGATAATCTCTCCATGGGGCCCGAGAGAGGGAGCAGAAAAGGGGGTATGTTGGGACCCCCAACAACAATTAAATTTAATTCATCTATTGAAAAAAGGGAGAGGCCCCAGGGGGATGGAAGACCCGCAAATTTGGTCCCCCCAATCTTTAAAAAAAGGGGACAGAATGGAAACAATTTAAAATACGGGCCCGTGTCACTGACATTTTGATGCAAAATAAAGGGGAAAGATTTTAAGAAGGGAAAGGTGGAACATTAGGAAAAGGAAAGATTCACACCCGCAGCCAACAGGCTTCGAGACTTTTTTCCCGTGTCACAAACCTACTGGAGTTCTATGACATGGGTTTACCCGAGTAAGAAAGGAGAGAGGGGTGGGTGATTGCATTTTCTTGGACTGCAAGGGTTTTACACGTCCCCAAACCCGAGATTAGTCAAAAAAATGGAGGACCAAGCGGGGATAAAAAGGGAAAGGGGTTTCAAAAAGGTTTTGGGAATAATTGTCAGGAAAAAGGGCAGCGCGAAATAAAGGACGTTGGCGAGGGGGGTAAATGGGCACCCGTGACCCGCGGGGTCCCACAGGGCGTCCCGGACCCGTGTGTTTCTGGTATTTGTTTAACGAAAATGACGGAAAGGAATAAACTCCCAGGTGTCCCTGTTTGCCGTGACGTGAATGTTGGAAAAAGAGTTCATTCGATTTTTAAGGGCCAGGCAGAAAATACAAAGGGGCTGGAAAGGGTGCGACCCGGTCCAAAAAACTGGGGGCCCCCGGGAGGTTTAAAACCACCAAGTTTCAAAAATCATGAGGATTGGGGAAAAGGGGAAAGGGAAGGGCCCCCGAAGGAGACAGTCTAGGGGGCCAGAGATTTCAAACATCACTCAAGGAAAAAAGGGGTTTGGGGGGGAGTATAACACCAGGCAACCTCCCGAAGCGCACCCTCAACCAAATAAATGCCGCAGCATAGGTGCGCCTGGCAAAACCCCCGAACAGGATTCCGAAAATCTTAATTTAAAGGGAAATTTTCAGGACCCTGTTAAAACCCTGGTCGTTAGGCCCCTATTGGAGTAGCGGGGACCAGTTTGGAACCCCACCAAAAACCAAAAAATTTTTAAAAAAAAATAGAGAAAGTGCCCAAAAGGGTTTTCAACAAGGGTAGTCCCCGAGTTTAAAAGGGGATGTCCCCATGAGGAAAAGGGTTTAAAGGGGAAAACAACCTGAAACATGGAGGACAGGAGAGATAGGGGGACTGATAACGACTTACCAAAAAAATGAGAGGAATTGACAAAGGTTTGGAAAAAAGAAGGGGTGTTCCAGGGGAACCCGGAACCAGCAAACGGGGACACGTTTTGGGGGGGTGAAGACCCCAGATGTTCCCAAAAGGGTGTTTTGGGAAATATTTCTTCAGCCACAGGGTAGTTAGGAAGGGGAATAGTTTGGGAAAAAGGGTGTTGTGGGGGGCAGGATCCAAAACATAGCTTTAAGCAGAGGTACGATAAAGCCCATGGTTCAGGGAGAGGGCCTTTGTAGGACAAGTGAAAAAGGCTGGGGCCCGGAAACTTTTGGGCTGACCCCCGGCAACCTTAACTTTAGGGTGGGGGTACACACACACACAAGGGGGGGAAAAAAATTTCATCACAAACCTATGGGGGTTTTACAACAAAAGGGCACAGGAGAGGAGGAGGGGTAGGTAGACTGATTTTCTTGGACTGAAAAAGGCTTTTGGGCACAGTTTGCAAAGGATTAGTGCAAAAGCCCGAGGGTAGGCAGGAAAAAACAGGAAAAAACCCCCGCAATGGATCAGAGAAAAAAACCCGACAAAGGAAGGAAAACCCGTGAGTGAAAGGTACGTGACAAGGGGTCAGAGTGCTGATGTGAGACGGATTCCAACCCGGGGTCAGTTGTAGGGGCCCGGGGCTGTTTCAGGTAATGTGAATGGGCATGGGGCAGAAGGAAAAGATTCAGTGTCCCTGTTTGCAGATGGGCGTGAAGCTAATGGGGGGAGAATTCAAACAGATGAGGATCAGGGAGGGCTAAGAAAAGATCTGGGCCCGGCTGCAAACCTGGTCCAAAAAATTGGAATTTTTAAAAAACACCCAAGTGGCCCAAAAACATGAGGATTGAGAAGGTCAAAGACTTTTAGGTGGAGGGACAAGGGTTAGGAGGCCAAAGGTTGGGAAAAACCCCACTCAAGGAAAAGGAAACTTGGGGGGTTAAATATCCTTTCCGGCAATTCCTTTAAGTGCACCCTCAACCAAAATAAAATGTACGCATGTGGGCACCTGGGGAAACCCAAGAAGGCTTTCAACATGAAAGGAGTCATTTAAAACAGTGCAGTGGGTACCCCTCGGTTTTCCCAAAAAGGAGTATGGGAGCACCAGTTTGGAACCCACACCCGGTCAAATACATCAAGGGAAAATTGGGGAAAAAAGTGCAAAGGTTTTTCAATAAAACTAGGGGTTTAGGAATAAGGAGAGGTTAAGGGAAACAGCCTGAGAAATGGAGGACGGAGGGATAGGGGAAAAAATGATAATGAAAAAAAATATTTAGAGGGGGTTGAAAAGGGAGACAGGGGGCGGGAAAGTTTCCGAGATGTGGGCACCGAAACAAGGGCAAAAGTAACTGGAAATTGAAAAACTCATATGAAACCGGGATGGTCGGAAGTATTTCTTCAGTCATAGAGTTGTCAGGAAGTTGAACAACCAGCAAAGAGGCAGGGCCAGGAGCTGTGAATCACCCCTGCAACCACAAATAAGTGAGTAAAGAGAGAGAACAAACTAATCTGAGGGGCCAATCTAGCATACCACTGGGACATGGTGGCCCGATACTCTTGGGCATGGCAAGAAGCTGTAGAATATTCATTATGTTATCATAGAGAGCAGGATAACTGTGCCAGTATACTGGTTCAGAGAGAAATTGATAAATTAATAGGTCCTGTTAGTACAAAGAACCCTAGTTATAGCAACAACCATCACATCTTTAATCAAAGAAATCCCCTGTAATTCTATTTTTCTTTTTTTTTCTCTCTCCAGAAAGGGACTGACATTCTGGGCCAAACTTGGAGAACACGACCGCTTTCACGATTCCTCTGGGACCTTTATTGAGGTCATTAAAGGCTCCATCCCCTCATCCCTGTATGGTGCAGCCGATCTGCAAAGACACCACCTTAGTGGAGTCGTTGATCCCGTTGATCTTGCTGCTGCAGAGGTGGACTGGGTACCCTACAAAGTGAACTTCTCTGGCAACCCAGCAGCTGCTACCAAGAGTGATCCCATTGAAATGGCTTCGATGGAACAAGTTATAGAGGTGGAGATGGAGGAGATTTACCCTCACTATACTGGCCGAATGAATTACCACGATATTGCCCTCCTAAGGCTTAAAACTCCGGTAGGTGGTAGGAGAGAGAGAGAGAGAAACATGAATATGTATGTGCATTTGTGTGTGAATGCTTTGCTGTTTCCCTTGTGTCCCATGATCACCTGAGAGCATTGTTATCTGGGGAAATTACATGACATGATTCTGAAATCATATGATAACCAACTCACTTGAGGGGCTAGCTATCTTAGGAAATAAAGTTTTATATTTACACTTATTCTCCATGGGAAAGTGGAACAGAATTCTTCCTCCGTCAGCCATGTGTGTCGTAAGTAACTAAAATGCTTGGAGCAAGGGGCTACATTAAGACTACAAATATTTTAAAGTAAGCAATGAGTGTACTGTATGAGTATTTTACTTTTTTGTTGTTTTTTAATACCTAGTTCTATTGCTAATATATGATAGTAAGAACATGTTATGAAGCATTTATAAATGAAAAAGTGTGATGCATTTATGGTGATTTCTATTTTATGGCAGTAGCCTGGAACCTAACCCGCCATATAAATGGTGCCCCCCTGTATCTTGACAATTCAGTGTGTACATCTAATGAGTACATTTTTAATGTGTACACTAATTCTGAAATGTCAGACATAAACTTCCAGGTATTGCTGCAAATTTTTTTTTGAGTGAAAGTAATTCATTGTTTTTATTTAAATTTATCCCTGTCAAGGAGGGAGGTGCCTTGATGACAGTGAATTTTGGCTTCTCACCCTTTACTTGGATTGAACCTGATTACCACCCAGTCCCTGGGTGCTGTATGGCTCCTACAAGTTTATTGTTTCCCCATGAATATTAATAATATTTAAATTTGTAATTAATATAAGGTGTTTGTTTTGGTCATTATCTTAACAATACTGTCACTATATTACCCTTCAAATGTACTATGTTCTGTAAAAGTGATGTAAACGGCAGATGAGTGAAGGGCTCTTATTAAACAAATTTCATCTATATCATTCCTACCAAACTTGATTATCTTCCTTTCCCTAGGCACTGTGTCATACCTTCTGGCATTATTATTATTATTATTATTGGACGAAGGAGGTAAAGGAGGTTTTGTGGGCAAGGGGCTTGGACTTCCAGCAAGCATGTGTGAGCGTGTTAGATAGGAGTGAATGGTTTTTGGGACCTGACAAGCTGTTGGAGTGTGAGCAGGTTAATATTTTGTAAAGGGATTCAGGGAAACCGATTAGCTGGACTTGAGTCCTGGAGGTGGGAAGTGTAATTCCTGCAGTTTAAAGGAGGGGTTTGGGATATTGGCTGTTTAGAGTGACATCTAAACTGTTGTATCTGAGCACCTCTGCAAAGACAGTGATTATGTATGAATGATGGTGAAAGTGTTAAACGATGATAAAAGTTTTTTTTCTCTCTTTTTGGGTCACCCTGCCTCAGTGGGAAACGGCCAACGTGTTAAAAAAAAATATTTTTATTGTTGTATTATTATTCATTGGGAAAATAAACCCATGTGGAAAATACAGTGAATGGGGAAGTGGTAAATAATTACATTTGATCCAAGGGAAAGGATTGTAGCTCCAATTCCTTGGATTAAGGAGTCCATAGTCTTGGAGGGCCTTGTGGCAACTGATGGGTATTGAGTAGGTGCAGCAGTGATAGATGTGTATCGTTACAGGCCAAGTTCACCAGGAGGGTTTTGCCGGCCTGCCTGCCCCACTACCCACTAGAGGACTACACTGGCAAACACCTCACTGTGACAGGCTGGGGATATACTGCAGGTAATTGCAATACTTGCTACAGTTTTGGCCATGGTGGCTATGCACGTGCACACACACAGTTTTAAGAGCAGGTTCAGTAGGGCCCATGAGGCTAAGAGGGAGCAAATCTGGAGTGTGGCGAGTTATGAGGTAGGGTCAGGATCTAAGAATCAACCTCTGCAGTTACAAATATGAGTACACACACAACAATGGTAGTTCCAGAACTCAGGGGAATGTCCTACGAAGAAAGGTTGAGGAAAATCGGCCTGACGACACTGGAGGACAGGAGGGTCAGGGAAGACATGATAACAACATACAAAATACTGCATGGAATAGATAAGGTGGACAGAGACAGGAAGTTAGTAGGGATGTTAGTAGTATTTCTTCAGTCATAGAGTTGTCAGGAAGTGGAATAGTCTAGCAAGTGATGTAGTGGAGGCAGGAACCATACATAGCTTTAAGACGAGGTATGACAAAGCTCAGAGAGCAGAGAGAGGACCTAGTAGCGATCAATGAAGAGGCAGGGCCAGGAGCTGAGTCTCGACCCCTGCAACCACAATTAGGTGAGTACTAGACAGATACGTACTATATCATCTTAACGTTGGAAGTATTTTGCTGTCTATTTCACCCTTATCAGCAATGCCAAATGAATTATTTGGAAAATTTAAATAGATAAAAGTTTGCACGCAGTTACAATTATCAAGAACCCGTCCAAGGGCAATGCTTTGATGCTGCTAAAGGGTTCTTGGTCCAAGGAATTGAATTTACTTATCCCATTCGTGGATCAAACCTGATTACCTCCCATTCCCCAGGTGTTGTATGATCCCTGCTGGACTCGCCCTTTGTAGGGAAGTCAGTGAATGCATAGTGGAACACAGTGACAAGTCTCAGTGCCAACAGACACACACAACACCTGGAGAATGAGAGGTAATCAAGTTTGAGCCAAGAGAAGGGATAGCAGCTCTAATTCCTTTAATCAAGAGCCCTTTATATAGCATCATGAACCCAACTACTGGAAATTATTATCTTCAATATCATCTGTTCTCTGAATGCTAGTGTTGTTCAGGCCTCTCAGTATGTAAAGTAAAAGGACACAAGTGCAACTAATGTGACATTTTTTATTGTGGCAACGTTTCACTCTCCAGGAGCTTTGTCAAGCCGTTATGTAACGGCTTGACAAAGCTCCTGGAGAGCGAAACATTGCCACAATAAAAAATGTCACATTAGTTGCACTAGTGTCCTTTTACTGTACATACTGTCGGTAATTCTACCAAAATTATTACAGGCATCTCAGGTTCAGTATTCCTGTGCTGCTCTTTCAGACCTACTTAACTATTCTAACTACAGTGCCTTTTTCACTATTACACCATTTAAATTTCCTAATTACAGCACCACTTCAGTTACCAAAGTACTATGCCCTTTGGTATGTTTTCAGGAATCCGGGAGATGTCAAAGGTTTTGCAGAAGGTGAGAGTACCAGTGGTGGAGCGCCTCAACTGCTCTACCATAGTGAAGAACCCTTTCAACGTACCTTTGGGCATCACCCAGGACATGCTGTGTGCAGGAGAGAGAGACAGAGACTCCTGCCAGGTAAATGTGTGGTACACACACACTATGTGTAGAGCAAACTTTAGAGACTACATTTCATTAAACCATGCTCTTACCGAGTTGCTCTGTTTAAAGCAAAATGTAGTGTACAGTATAATTATTATAATAAAAAAGAATGTAGTGTATAAATAATGGTATTTCACAGCAGTTAGTAATTTTACAGTACTTATGGGCAAGGTATGTGTAAGGGATGCTGAGGACTGAACTTGTCACACTTCTAAGGAGAGCTGCTAGTGTAACTATTAGTAAGTTTATTTAGGTACAAGTAAAGTCATAATTTTTTTTTTTTTTTTTTTCAACAAGTCGGCCATCTCGCACCGAGGCAGGGTGACCCAAAAAAAAAGAAAGAAAATCCCCAAAAAGAAAATACTTTCATCATCATTCAACACTTTCACCACACTCACACATTATCACTGTTTTTGCAGAGGTGCTCAGAATACAACAGCTTAGAAGCATATACGTATAAAGATACACAACATATCCCTCCAAACTGCCAATATCCCAAACCCCTCTTTTAACCCTTTGACTGTTTCAGGCCCCTTTCTGAAACTCATTCTATGTCGCTAAATTTTTGAAAAAAAAAATTATTTTTTCTTACGAAATGATAGAGAATCTTTTCCCGATGGTAATGACACCAAAAGTTTGAAATTTGGTCGAAAACTCATGGAATTACGCTCCTGCGAAGATAACAGTCTCAGCGACATATGCGTATCGGCGATTTCGCCGACTTTGAGCCCTATTTTCAGCCAATTCCGTTGTTTCAGTTGACCAAACTCATAGTTATTTCTTTAGAACTCCATTTTATCTATCAGCTGAGTACAAGAAACCTCCCATTTACCAATTTGGACTACCCAATATTGTGGTCAGAAATTGGCAATTTGGCCAATTTCACGCAAACTAAAAAAGGTGCCAATTTCAAAATAGGGTCCAGAATAAACAAGGTAGACATTCTTGGCACTAAAATAACATATCCTCTGTTCATTAGTCACATCTCTAGGCCCCTCTTATATTATTATTGCTTTCTATTTTGATTTTTTATTCATACAAAAAAATACAAAATTTACTGTTATGCAGACTACTGCATTATTGTAAAAATGGTATAAATAATATCAGTGCACTAGTGAAAGAATATTAGACTCCCCAGTTGACGTGTATTGGACGTGTGGTGTGATTTGTTTACTCCTGAACATTGGTAAAAATTGAACATTTCCGCTACTTTGAGCTCAATTTCAAGGTCGTTTTCATCGTCAAAGTAATGAAAATCATCTCTATTTCTGTAATATGTTTTCCATTTTATCACCTAAGACCATGAAAACGCAAATATATCGATAAATACTATACGAAAATACACCTCAAAGTCGGTGTTTTAATCCAAATAAAACGATCAGTTTTTTTCTCATTACGCACTGTGTGCTGCAGGATTTTTTTATGTGGTGCACACTGACCACACAGACATATTCTCTCACATGTGGGCCCACCAGCTTTCTTCCGCTTGATTTGAAGCCGCTAGAATTATTGAGTATATATACGTCTGAAACACTGGCTCGTAAGACGTATATATACGACCAAAACAGTCAAAGGGTTAAAGTGCAGGCATTGTACTTCCCATTTCCAGGACTCAAGTCTGACTATATGAAAATAACCGGTTTCCCTGAATCCCTTCACTAAATATTACCCTGCTCACACTCCAACAGATCGTCAGGTCCCAAGTACCATTCGTCTCCATTCACTCCTATCTAACACGCTCACGCATGCTTGCTGGAAGTCCAAGCCCCTCGCCCACAAAACCTCCTTTACCCCCTCTCTCCAACCCTTTCGAGGACGACCCCTACCCCTCTTTCCTTCCCCTATAGATTTACAGTATATGCTTTCCATGTCATTCTACTTTGATCCATTCTCTCTAAATGACCAAACCACCTCAACAACCCCTCTTCTGCCCTCTGACTAATACTTTTATTAACTCCACACCTTTTCCTAATTTCCACACTCCGAATTTTCTGCATAATATTTACACCACACATTGCCCTTAGACAGGACATCTCCACTGCCTCCAACCGTCTCCTCGCTGCTGCATTTACCACCCAAGCTTCACATCCATATAAGAGTGTTGGTACTACTATACTTTCATACATTCCCTTCTTTGCCTCCATAGATAACGTTTTTTGACTCCACATATACCTCAACGCACCACTCACCTTTTTTCCTTCATCAATTCTATGATTAACCTCATCCTTCATAAATCCACCCGCCGACACGTCAACCCCCAAAGTATCTGAAACTTTCACTTCTTCCTACTTCTCCCCCCAAATTTGTATCCAATTTTTTTTTTCTAAATCTTTGTCCCCTCATATTACTCTTTTCTTGTTCATTTCAACTTTCTCCCTTTAACCTTTCCCAAACTTTCACAACCTTTGAAATTTTTTTTTAGAACCCCCCCATAAGCACAGTTCTCAGCAAAAAGTAAAATGTGTCATTCCCCCTTTTTTAATTTGATTCCCAAAATTTAATCCCCCCCCTCTCCCCAACACCCTAACATTTATTCTTTTACAAAACCCCATCTTTTAAAAAATTTAAACACCATGGGAATTACACATCCCTGTCTAGACCTACTTTTCCGGGGAAGTAATCTCCCTTCCCTTTACACACCCAACCTGAGCTCACTATCCTATAAAAATCTTTTCCCGCCTTTATAATTCCACCTTTCCAATACTTGCAACATCTGCCACATGCTCCCCCTTTCCCCTCTATCATATGCCTTTTTAAATCATAAATGCAATAAAAAAATTCCCTACCTTTTCTAAAAAACTGTTCAATATATGTTCAAAGTAAAAAATTATCTACACATCCCCTACCCACTCTGAAACCTCCCGTCATCCCCATCCTACATTCTGTTTACCTTAAATTTTTCAATTATAACCCCCCGTACACTTTTCCTGGGATATCAGTAAATTATTCCCCTATAATTTTTACAATCTTTTTGTCCCTTTTCCCTTTTTAAAAAGGGGCTTTACATCCCCCCCAATCCTGGTCCCCTTCCCCTTTTTTAAAAATTTTATTAAAACAAAAACCCAACCACTCCAACACATATCCCCCCTGTTTTTAAACCATTTCTTCTGACCCCATCAGTTCCCAGCTGTTTACCCCCTTTTTTCTAGTAATGCCTCACGTCCCTCCCCCAACTTCATTTGCTCTTCTTCACCCCTAAAAGATGGTATACCCCCGGCCGTGCATAATTACCGCCTCCCTTTCTTCCTCAACTTTTAAAAAGTTCTTCAAAATTTTCTTCCCACTACAATACCTCCCCCCCCCATCTACGACTCCCCTACCCGTTTTTAACTGAAAATCCATACTTGTGTAAATTTTTTTGGATAACCCCAGGGAAAAAATCAGTGACTTATTTCCATTGGGGTCCTTGTGGTTTATGCGGTGAAGTGTTAATAATAATTTTATTTATTGATAACTATGAAAACCCAATGGTCAGGGGGTTTAAAATTTTTATAATAATTTTTTTTAGACCAAAAAATGGGAAGATTTTCTGCCCGATACCCATCAATAATATATTCACAAGCAAACCTTTTTGGGACTTAGGTTGCACCTTTGGGGGCTGTTAAAAGGGCCCTTTTCCAAGGATCCCCCTAGTTAAAGTTTTGAAGGGCAACTTGAAGAAAAAATTAAAAATTTTCTTGTGCTGCGACTTTTGAAGAATTTTGAAGAAAAAAACCAAAAAATTGTAGAATAAGCATTTATTGAGGACAAAAAAAAATTTTTTTCCCCGATGTATTTAAATTTTTTGCGACTTTTAAGCTAGGTATGACAAAGTTTTTACAACAAAACATTGCTCAGTAAAAGTTTTCAGCAGCCGGTATTTTCTTCATTATTATCAACAGTACAGTGTTTAGATCCTACAAATTCAGTTTTAATTTCAGTCAGATGTATGTTCACTGTAAACTTATTACAGCACATTTTGCTTGCCAGGAACTCCTGGTGAGTGAAACTTATCCTAATGCTTCACATGCATCTGATTTATGCACGTTGGTAAAACATACCCCAAGTGTAACAAAACTGTGCTGAGAACCTCAGCATGGCAAACCAGAACACTTTCTGTATCCTAGTGTATCCCTCCCTCAATCTTCCAGTTCACTGATCCAGAATTTTTACTTTTTGTAATCTTTATTTTCAGAGGAAACACATTACACTTAATAAATCAGTGGGGTTTATACTGCATTATTGCATTCATGAATTATGTGATATGCATATTGTAGCTAAAATACCTCAAACTGCTCTGGCACATAGTATAGGGGGATCATACAGAGCCTGGGGAATGGGAGACAGTCAACTTTGATCAGGGAGAATGGTAGTAAAGCTGTTGGCATAGGCTGATACAAAGAATATCAGTTTGTTTGAATCCTTGATGGGTATATCATTATAATAATAATCAAAACTAAATGCTAAACCCACAAGGGTCATACAGTGCTGTTAATAGGATGAAATGTTGCAATTATAACCTATCCTTCTGTGCATCCATACCTTGTACTCTGCATGAAACCTTGAGGACAGAGAGAGAGTACAGTTAGGTATTGTCTGTCTTGCACTTGGCAAACTGAGAATCAAGCCTCCATTTAATCCTCTGACCAAATAATTCACAAGGGTTTACAGCTTGGCATATTTTAATAGCATCAAACCCTTTCACTGCCTTTTCCTTGCCACAGGGTGACAGTGGTGGGCCACTGACGGAGCAAGTAGTGAGGAACGGCAGTGCCTGTGAGCACACAGTGGTGGGGGTGGTTAGCTTTGGCCAAGGCTACAACTACTCTCCCTGCGGCCTGATGGGCGTGTATACAAGAGTCTCCGCCTACCTCGACTGGATCACTGGCTTCATAGCACCCAACACCACCACCACCTACATGCCTGCAACCACCACCACCACAAGTACAACTACCACCATGACCCAGACGACTTCTACAAACTATCTTTATTTTCTTTAATTATAATCATAACTAAGTGCTAAACCCATTATTTTCTTTAGATTTCCCTAGCAATATATCTATTGAATTTATGTATTATAAAGACTTTATAAACATGTATGTGAATGATGGTGAAAGTGTTTCTTTTTTTGGGTCACCCTGCCTCAGTGGGAGATGGCCATGTTGAAAGGAAAAAAAAAATACCTACACATTATGTATGCATATCTGTCTCATTTGCTTTCACAGTAAATTTACACATCCTCTTTAGTTATCCTCAGACATAGATAAAAAAAAATTAGATATTGTGGATCAAGAGCTTTATGGCACTTAATTAGTAAATGCTCTCTCAAGATTGCAATAATAGTTACTGTGAAGAGGTGTAAGGTGACCACTGAATGTTACTGAAGTTTGTAGGTGCAGTATGTTAAGCCTGCATATAGCCAGGATGCAACTGTAATTAGTATGCACATACACTGGGAGGGACACAAGAAGTCCTGTCATTATATAAATTGGCCAATAATTTTAATTTTACATCAAAAGATTGCTAAACCTATTACTGCCATACAGTGCTGAAATATTGATGAATGATGGAATAATTCATCATCATCTTAGAGAAACTCTAAACCCATAAGATTTATTTAGCACCTCGGGAATGAGAGGTAATCAGGTTTGATCCAAGAAAATGGAGGGTACCTCCAATTCCTTGGCTCAAAGGCCCTTCACCAGTTTAAAAGATACCCTCCTTGAATGGAATGAAAAAACATCTTTGCCATTTGAACCTAAGAAAATATTGTACACTTGATCTGTACTCTAAGTGCTGGAGAGATTTTTCTTAAATATCAAGGCAAGCACTAAACTCATAGGGTCATACACTTGATCCATGGTGTGCTGAAGGTTTTTATTACTTATCAAGGTAAGGCAAGCACTAAACTCGTAGGATCATACAGCACAATTGGTCAAAAAACAATTTATCAACTCTTGCGCTCAAAAAATTTACTGATAAAGGTTCTCTGGCCTGGAACCTTGATGCTGGTGTGGGCTCTTGATCCAAAGGAATTTAACTTAGCTTCCTCAATTTTTGGACTGACCCTGAATGTCTTGTACTGCCCAGGCACTACACGATACATATGGGTTTTAGCAGTTCATTTTGAATAAGAGGTTTATTATATTAATGGGGGAGCACTAAATCTTTAGGGGGTCATACAGCACCTGGGAATCTGAGACAATCAGGTTCGCTCCAAGAAAGTAAAGGGATGATAGGTCGAATCCCCTGAATCAAGAATATTTCACAAGCATCAAGATACTAACCACCCTTGAAAGGTCTTTACAAAGATGATTAATTGAAAAGCATTAGCAATATTCTTTAAGCAATGCTGCAAATAAATGTTTTCATTATTCTTCAAGCAATGCTGCAAAGTTTTTGCATCATTTAGCAACACTGCAATGTTTTTTTAAGCAACTCTGCAAACAAACAAAAAATAAGTGCACTTCATTGTTGACAAATACTAAATGAGTTTTATGTCTGGAACATGTATGGTTGAGATGTCTGATACCAAAATAAAGAATACAAATGAACAATGTTTCATATGCTCCTCACTACAGCAACTTTCACACTTCCACCTGACAGAACCATTAAAGTACACATACATTATAATGAAAGTGAAGTCTTAATCTATAAAGGTCAGAAACTCCTGATTCTCCATTGTCACCACAATACAAAGGTCAAAAAGTCTTGTTTCTCCACAACACTTACCTACTACACCCATGTGGATTTAACATGTTTTTTTGATTACAGTATACTAATAAAAATAACCTACTACACATCACCATTACAATACTCACCAGTACACTGACAAAAACTAAAAGAAACAATACAAATCACAAACATGACTGGAACAATTCATAACTAATCCCAAATGCACTGCATGCTAGTGGCTTTGTGCCTAACAATATTTTATTACATGTAAACTACATTATCTATATACTGCATAAAATTATTACTAAGCATACTGCATAAAAGCAATAAAATATTACAATGTGAATTTAAATCCATCCTCAGACTAGAGATAAATCCTTAGGAAATGAATGGGTCTGTCATATGAAGATTTACCTACAATTAGTGTTTTAGTTGTGAACCAAAACACTAGACAACACAATTCACAAATAACTTGAAATGCATCATCAACAAAGATGCACAACTGTTGCAAATGTGTCTTCCTAATCAGCTTGTCAGTATTTTATACCATTTTCAATAACGTGACAATGGTCCAGGATGTTCAGAAAAGTTATCGTGGGTAATTTGTAAATTATTCTAGACATAGTATTGTACCCTATACCTCACTAGAAAGCACTTACCACTACTCCATCACGAGTCACTACACCAACATTAAAACTTGTCACCACTACAGTGGCGACCCATGTGGTGCTATATATCCCATGATCCAATCGAAGGTAGGATGAGACACGAGTGTAGATGCCTCCAAATCCACAATCACCCCCGAAGCTCACTACACCCACCAGTGTCTGCTCACACACCTGCTTACCATCTACTGTGGCTCGATCGATGAGGGGGCCACCACTGTCACCCTGGGGAAGATTATTATTATAAGAACATAAGAAAGGACGAACACTGCAGCAGTCCTACTGGCCCATGCTAGGCAGATTTTTCTGAAACCCAAACCTGTTAACAAAAATATTTGCCCAACCCATTTTCAATGCTACCCAAGGAATTACCTTTGATAACCATGTAAACTTATGTACAAGTGTCATTCCACTCTAACCCCTCTCACTCATGTATTTATCTAACCTTTATTTGAAGCTACCCAAGCTTTTAGCTTTAATGACCTTACTAGGCAGACTGTTCCACTCTATCAACTACTCTATTTCCAAACCAATACGTTCCTATATCCTTTTTACATCTGAACTTATCCTACTTGAATCCAGTATTTTGTTTTTTTAACATGTCGGCCATTTCCTACCGAGGCAGGGTGACCCAAAAAGAAAGAAAAAACTTCCATTATTCAACACTTTCACCATCACTCGTACATAATCACTATCTTTACAGAGGCGCTCAGATACGACAATTTAGATCTTTCCAAACTTCCAATATCTCAAACCCCTCCTTTAAAGTGCAGGCATTGTACTTCCCATTTCCAAGACTCAAGTCATATTCATAGGAAAACACTAAACCCATAAGGTCATATGGCACCTGGATAATAGGTCTCAGGTTCAATCCAAGGGAAACAGTTCCAGTTCCTTGGATCAAGAGGCCTTCACCTTGACAGTAGAGGTGAAGCATGTTAGAAGGTACACATACTAATGCTGGGCTTCTGCCATGGGTCTAATGATAAAAGGTAAGAAAAGCAAATTTCATTTACTTTTAATATTTAGTGATGTTTCCAGGTGGTTTGATTACCAATTTCAAGCAGTTAGGCATAATCAAAGTTTTTTTTTTTTTAAGTCCAGTTTTTAATTCAAATTATGGTACTCTTCACTTACTCCAAGGCTGAGGACTGATTACCTCATCTTTTGTATATACTAGTTCTAGTCTTCCCATTATGTCCTTTAATTTGTATTGATAAAGCCACTGGGTGGCAAAAAATCTTCAAATAAAGATACCTAGTTGTTACACACATGTTTAGTTCATCAAGTTTGTTTTAGTCCCCTGGGTCAAACATGGTACTGATATGATTTTTGGAATGGAGTTGTCATCTCTCTTCATTCCAACAATTTTTGCTGGAATCCAGGTGAGTTCTGTACCCACTGCATAACACTGATACTTTGGTACTATCTTGCAACATTTCTTGACCAGTTTTGGGCATGTGGCATGGGACACTGTCTTAAGTGTGATGCCATAAATTATGTAAAATGTGAAATAATGTGCCTTAAGCACAGCTACTTAATGTACAGACTCAGCAGATAATGTTGCAACACATGCCAACCAACATTACGTATTTGCACACCTCAGCGTCAACAACTAGTTCAATCTCAATTTTTCAATACCTGGAGTTTACCTGGAGAGGGTTTCGGGGGTCAACGCCCCCGCGGCCCGGTCTGAGACCAGGCCTCGTGGTGGATCCAGGGTCTGATCAACCAGGCTGTTACTGCTGGCCACACGCAAGCTGACGTACGAAACCACAGCCCAGTTGGTCAGGTACTGACTTGAAGTGCCTGTCCAGTGCCTTCTTGAAGACAGCCAGGGGTCTATTGGTAATCCCCCTTATGTATGCTGGAAGGCAATTGAACAGTCTTGGGCCCCGGACACTTACTGTGTTGTCTCTCAGTGTACTCGTGGCACCCCTGCTTTTCATCGGGGGGAATGTTGCATCTCCTGCCGAGTCTATTGTTTAAGATGCTCTCCTCTCTATGCATTTCAGTAGGACTGCCTCTACCCTCAACAGGACTGCCTCTACCCTCAACAGGACTGCCTCTACCCTCAACAGGACTGCCTCTACCCTCAACAGGACTGCCTCTACCCTCAACAGGACTGCCTCTACCCTCAACAGGACTGCCTCTACCCTCAACAGGACTGCCTCTACCCTCAACAGGACTACCTCTACCCTCAACAGGACTACCTCTACCCTCAACAGGACTGCCTCTACCCTCAACAGGACTGCCTCTACCCTCAACAGGACTGCCTCTACCCTCAACAGGACTACCTCTACCCTCAACAGGACTACCTCTACCCTCAACAGGACTGCCTCTACCCTCGACAGCACTGCCTCCACCCTCAACAGCACTCACCCGACAAGAGTCGCGTCCATTGCCTCCAGCACATATCTGGTCAGACAGTATTCCACGGGGTGGACTGGTAGCTTTGGACCACTTAGCTTGGCACTTCAAATGGTTCTCTACTGGCACCAACACCTTCTGCAGGATATTCTCTGTCTCTCCAAAACCTGTGGACAAGGCGATGGGGTGAAATAGTGTTACCCCCTTGGAAAAATTAATATAATTAGTTGACAGCTCTATTATGCACCCCACATCCCTCCAGAGAGCAATAGTGAGAATACTAGAAGCTTGTAGTGCCAGAGTTAATTGTAATTAATTTTACAGAAAGATGAAATGACAAGCAATTAAATATGAAAACTTGATTAACAAGCACATGATATATCATTACCTTGTGTCTAATATACCACATGTATGACAATATTTAAAGACATGCAGGGTATTTGTACCCTGTGATTTGATTCCCAGGTGATATATAAAAGGTAGGGCATTGCATAGAGAAGAATTTTACCAAACTGAAAGAAGAATTCAACATAACTGAACGAAGTCAATAGTTGTGGACTGTATACCTTGATAGGTGTATCCCCAACCAGCAACAGTGAGCTCCTTGTCACCAAAGAGCTCAGTAGGGTTTGAATGCAAACAGGCAGGCAACACCCGTCTAGTCAGCACTGCCTGCAAAACAAGTTATTTCAGTCCTACACAGTGTCAAAGGCATCCTTTGACACTGCTCAAGGGTTAATGATCCAAGAAACTGAAGTTTACTCCCCTTCTTCAGATCAAACATGATTGCTTAACATTACCCAGGCGCTATATGACCCCTACGGGTTCAGCGCTTCCCCGTAATGATAACACTATCTTTGTTACACAAAACCTTATATGTTTCAGAAATATGGCTGAGATTTAGCAATTACTGAAACACTATATACCATATTGAAAAAGTATTTCTGATGGAATGTATTACTGTGAGAATATATACCTAGATGAAAAAACAAAAATAAAAAATTATATTTGGTGCAATATTAAAGAATGAGAGAACACCATATCACACCACCACAACATACCACAACACCGTAATGTCACACCACCTTCATAACACTATACCATAACACTACCATAGCACCCAATACCACACCATAACACTACACCATAATACCACCACAACCCCATGACACCACCATAATACCACAATGCACAACATAACACCACACTATTTCATCCAGGCATTGCATCAGAAACTCATCAGAGGTGTCCTGTGGTCTAAACTCCAGGTCCCAGGAGCTCACCGGAGTACGGAGTTTGAGTAAAGCAATGTCGTGGTATTTAACTTCTGTTCCGGCATATCCAGGGTGAATTATCTTCTCCACTTTTATGACCTGCTTGGTGGGTGCCGTCCTGGTGGTGTCCAAGTTGAGCTCGTTGGCATGAAGTAGAGATAGTGGGAAGGAACCGGATAGTCTGTCCTGCTGAGCCATCTCTGTGGTGGTAATATCATGTTCTCCTAGTGTGACCTCGATCTGCACAGCCAGACCGTAACTGGCGAGAATGGGTGTAATGAGATTAAGTTTATTTAAGTACAGGTACACAAACACGACATATAAAATACTGAGAGGAATTGACAAGGTGGACAGAGACAGAATGTTCCAGAGATGGGACACAGCAACAAGGGGAGACAGTTGGAAGTTGAAGACTCAGATGAATCACAGGGATGTTAGGAAGTATTTCTTCAGTCAGGAAGTGGAATAGTTTGGGAAGCGATGTAGTGGAGGCAGGATCCATTCATAGCTTTAAGCAGAGGTATGATAAAGCTCACGGTGCAGTGACCCAGTAGCGGCCAGTGAAGAGGCGGGGCCAGGAGCTATGAATCGACCCATGCAACCACAACTAGGTGAGTACAGTTACACAAATTATCATACAAATTAACATGTAAATCTTCTAGGATAACCTAAAAAAGTCAAAGTGACTTATTTTCATTGGCGAGTTGTCACTCTCACCAACCATAGGGTCCATACATAGCTTCAAGAAGAGGTACGATAGAGCTCTTGGAGCAGGGAGTGGACCTAGTAGCGACCAGCGAAGAGGCATGGTCAGGAGCTATAACTCAACCCCTGCAACCACAAATAGGTGAGTACTAGTTGTACAGGGTACGATGATGCCCACACGTGAAGACACACACACACACACACACACACACACACACAACCACAAATAGGTGAGTACAAATAGGTGAGTACACACACACACACACACACACACACACACACACACGGGCGCCTGGCAAACCTACGGACAGCGTTCCAATACCTCAGTAAGGATTCGTTCAAGACTCTGTATACCATTTACGTCAGGCCCATACTGGAGTATGCAGCACCAGTTTGGAATCCACACCTAGTCAAGCACGTCAAGAAATTAGAGAAAGTGCAAAGGTTTGCAACAAGACTAGTCCCAGAGCTACGGGGATTGTCCTACGAAGAAAGGTTGAGGGAAATCGGCCTGACGACACTGGAGGCCAGGAGGGTCAGGGGAGACATGATAACGACATATAAAATACTGCGCGGAATAGACGAGGTGGACAAAGACGGGATGTTCCAGAGATGGGACACAGACACAAGAGGTCACAATTGGAAGTTGAAGACTCAGATGAATCAAAGGGATGTTAGGAAGTATTTCTTCAGTCATAGAGTAGTCAAGCCATGGAATAGCCTAGAAAGTGAAGTAGTGGAGGCGGGAACCATACATAGTTTTAAGGCGAGGTATGATAAAGCTCATGGAGCAGGGAGAGAGAGGACCTAGTAGCAATCAGTGAAGAGGCGGGGCCAGGAGCTATGAATCGACCCCTGCAACCACAAATAGGTGAGTACAAATAGGTGAGTACACACACACACACACACACACAGTTATTAAACTTAATAAAAGTTTTGCAATGGGTATCTTCTTTAGCCCAACGAGACATAGTACTAATTATTGCACGGTGAAGCAAGGTTGGCAAGCAAGTCTGTGTTGCACGTGGTCTCTTGTTGTCTCTATTAGGTGTTGCACGTGGTCTCTTGTATCTATTAGGTGTTGCAGTGGTCTCTTGTTGTCTCTATTAGGTGTTGCAGTGGTCTCTAGCTATCTGCATTAGGTGTTGCTCGTGGTCTCTAGTTGTCTGCATTAGGTGTTGCACGTGGTCTCTAGTTGTCTGCATTAGGTGTTGCACGTGGTCTCTAGTTGTCTGTATTAGGTGTTGCACGTGGTCTCTAGTTGTCTGCATTAGGTTGTTTTTGCACGTGGTCTCTAGTTGTCTGCATTAGGTGTTGCACGTGGTCTCTAGTTGTCTGCATTAGGTGTTGCACGTGGTCTCTGGTTCTTTGTATTAGGACTGAAGAAGCTACACGTGGAGAAATATTTTCCTTAATAAATGTTATAACTGTATGTATATGTCATTTACACACAATCTCTGTTTTCTTTCACATTCGCACACTCGATATCTCTTTCACACTGTGCAACACCATTATGGAATCCACACCTGATTAATTGCGTCACTAAGCTGGTAAAGTGCTGAGGTCTACAACGAGACTTGTTCAAGAGCTAAGATATGTAAAGTAAAAGGACACAAGTGCAACTAATGTGACATTTATTGTGGCAACGTTTCACTCTTCAGGAGCTTTATCAAGCCACAATAAATGTCACATTAGTTGCACTTGTGTCCTTTTACTTTACATATTGTCGGTAATTCTACCAACTTTATTACAGCTAAGATATATAAGCTTTGAAGAAAGCTTAACTAAACTCAACATGACATTAGAGGACCGAAAGACCAGGAGTGACATGATGTGCAAAATACTGAGAGGAACTGATAAAGTGGACAGGGACAGTGTGTTCGAGAGGCGGGAATCAAGTACACGAGGGCAAGGCTAGAAGTTAAGGTAGATTAGTCGCAGGGATGTTAAGAAATACTTATTTAGCCTTAGTAGCCCGGCAATGGAATGACTTAGATAGAAAGGTGGTAGAAGTAGGATCCATACATGGTTTTAAGAACAGGTATGACAGGACTTACATAGGAGAATCAGTAGCGGCCTGTGCAGAGTTAAGGCCAGGAGCCGAGACTCGACCTCTGCAACCACTTACAGGTGAATACATATAGTCTAGTACTAACGTACACTTTTACCTATATTCTCTTCCTCCACGGTACGCCCCCCTCCTTGCCCCCCCCTCTCCCTCTCTCTGACACACACATGCTCTTGCGCTCACCAACACACTTGCATAATAATTTATTTCACACACACACACACACACACACACACACACACACACACACACACAAAGGTTAAGGGAAATCGGTCTGACAACACTGGAGGACAGGAGGGTCAGGGGAGACATGATAACGACATACAAAATACTGCGTGGAATAGACAAGGTGGACAAAGACAGGATATTCCAGAGATGGGACACAGAAACAAGGGGTCACAATTGGAAGCAGAAGACTCAGATGAGTCAAAGGGATGTTAGGAAGTATTTCTTCAGTCATAGAGTAGTTAGGAAGTGGAATAGTCTGGCAAGCGATGTAGTGGAGGCAGGAACTATACATAGTTTTAAGACGAGGTATGATAAAGCTCATGGAGCAGGGGGAGAGAGGACGTAGTAGCGGTCGGTGAAGAGGCGGGGGCAGGAGCTGAGTCTCGCCCCTTGCAACCACAATTAGGTGAGTACACACGCACACGCACGCACGCACACACACACACACACACACACACACACACACACACACACACACACACACACACACACACACACACACACGCACGCACGCACACACACACACACAAATGAGTCAGAGAGATAGTAGGAAGTATTTCTTCAGTCATAGAGTTGTAAGGCAGTGGAATAGCCTAGAAAATGACGTAGTGGAGGCAGGAACCATACACAGTTTTAAGACGAGGTTTGATAAAGCCCATGGAGCGGGGAGAGAGAGGGTCTAGTAGCAACCGGTGAAGAGGCGGGGCCAGGAGCTAGGACTCGACCCCTGCAACCACAAATAGGTGAGTACAAATAGGTGAGTACACACACACACACACTGCAAGAAGGCCTTCGACACAGTTCCTCACAAGAGGTTACTGCAAAAGCTAGAGGATCAGGCACACATAACAGGAAAGGCACTGCAATGGATCAGAGAATATCTGACAGGGAGGCAACAACGAGTTATGGTACGCGACGAGGTGTCAGAGTGGGCGCCTGTGACAAGCGGGGTTCCACAGGGGTCAGTCCTAGGACCTGTGCTGTTCTTGGTATATGTGAACGACATAACGGAAGGGATAGACTCAGAAGTGTCCTTGTTTGCAGATGATGCGAAGTTAATGAGAAGAATCAAATCGGATGAGGATCAGGCAGGACTACAAAGAGACCTGGACAGGCTACAAGCCTGGTCCAGCAACTGGCTCCTTGAATTTAACCCTGCCAAATGCAAAGTCATGAAGATTGGGGAAGGGCAAAGAAGACCGCAGACACAGTATAGTTTAGATGGCCAAAGACTGCAAACCTCACTAAAGGAAAAAGATCTGGGGGTGAGTATAACACCGAGCATATCTCCTGAGGCGCACATCAATCAGATAACTGCTGCAGCATATCGGGCGCCTGGCAAACCTACGGATAGCGTTCCGATACCTCAGTCAGGATTCGTTCAAGACTCTGTATACCATTTACGTCAGGCCCATACTGGAGTATGCAGCACCAGTTTGGAATCCACACCTAGTCAAGCACGTCAAGAAATTAGAGAAAGTGCAAAGGTTTGCAACAAGACTAGTCCCAGAGCTACGGGGATTGTCCTACGAAGAAAGGTTGAGGGAAATCGGCCTGACGACACTGGAGGACAGGAGGGTCAGGGGAGACATGATAACGACATATAAAATACTGCACGGAATAGACAAGGTAGACAAAGACGGAATGTTCCAGAGAAGGGACACACACACAAGAGGTCACAATTGGAAGTTGAAGACTCAGATGAATCAAAGAGATGTTAGGAAGTATTTCTTCAGTCATAGAGTAGTCAGGCCGTGGAATAGCCTAGAAAGTGACGTAGTGGAGGCGGGAACCATACATAGTTTTAAGGCGAGGTATGATAGAGCTTATGGGGCAGGGAGAGAGAGGACCTAGTAGCGATCACTATGACAAAGTCCTAGATGCACTAGAAGACAAAAAGAATGCAGATGTAATATATACAGACTTTGCAAAAGCCTTCGACAAGTGTGACCATGGCGTAATAGCGCACAAAATGCGTGCTAAAGGAATAACAGGAAAAGTCGGTCGATGGATCTATAATTTCCTCACTAACAGAACACAGAGAGTAGTCGTCAACAGAGTAAAGTCCGAGGCAGCTACGGTGAAAAGCTCTGTTCCACAAGGCACAGTACTCGCTCCCATCTTGTTCCTCATCCTATATCCGACATAGACAAGGATGTCAGCCACAGCACCGTGTCTTCCTTTGCAGATGACACCCGAATCTGCATGACAGTGTCCTCCATTGCAGACACTGCAAGGCTCCAGGCGGACATCAACCAAATCTTTCAGTGGGCTGCAGAAAACAATATGAAGTTCAACGATGAGAAATTTCAATTACTCAGATATGGTAAACACGAGGAAATTAAATCTTCATCAGAGTACAAAACAAATTCTGGCCACAAAATAGAGCGAAACACCAACGTCAAAGACCTGGGAGTGATCATGTCGGAGGATCTCACCTTCAAGGACCATAACATTGTATCAATCGCATCTACTAGAAAAATGACAGGATGGATAATGAGAACCTTCAAAACTAGGGAGGCCAAGCCATGATGACACTCTTCAGGTCACTTGTTCTATCTAGGTTGGAATATTGCTGCACACTAACAGCACCTTTCAAGGCAGGTGAAATTGCTGACCTAGAAAATGTACAGAGAACCTTCACGGCGCGCATAACGGAGATAAATCACCTCAATTACTGGGAGCGCTTGAGGTTCCTAAACCTGTATTCCCTGGAACACAGGCGGGAGATACATGATTATATACACCTGGAAAATCCTAGAGGGACTAGTACCGAACTTGCACACGAAAATCACTCACTACGAAAGCAAAAGACTTGGCAGACGATGCAACATCCCCCCAATGAAAAGCAGGGGTGTCACTAGCACGTTAAGAGACCATACAGTAAGTGTCAGGGGCCCGAGACTGTTCAACTGCCTCCCAGCATACATAAGGGGGATTACCAACAGACCCCTGGCAGTCTTCAAGCTGGCACTGGACAAGCACCTAAAGTCGGTTCCTGACCAGCCGGGCTGTGGCTCGTACGTTGGTTTGCGTGCAGCAACAGCCTGGTTGATCAGGCTCTGATCCACCAGGAGGCCTGGTCACAGACCGGGCCGCGGGGGCGTTGACCCCCGGAACTCTCTCCAGGTAAACTCCAGGTAAATCAGCGAAGAGGCGGGCCAGGAGCTATGACTCGACCCCTGCAACCACAAATAGGTGAGTACACACACACACACAGGTGAGTAACAGTAAGAGTTGAGAGGAACAAAGCTAGTTAGTACAATGGACACAATGAGTTTTTACGGTTATTGCGCACATAATGCACCTTCATTATATAATTCATCGGAAAAATGATCTCATATATGAAACAGCATACGTCTAAATACAGGAAATCCCTGTATTACATAGTTTAGGTTCTTGAAAACAGATACATATTGAGAAAAGAAGGAAATCAACATCTGTAGCTCTCCCTGATTCCTCATTTAATATTCATATGTCTAATACAGTGGGAGAGTTGAGGGGTAATCACAGGCTGAGATAACCGATAAAGTCGATGTGAGGTGGCAAATGCATGTTAGTAATAAGGAATTTGCGTGATGTGGGAGTGATGAACAGGGGTGTACACGTCAGGTGGACCTGTAGGACGCGGTAAAGAAACTACGGTATGGGTAGGGTGTGAACCCATCCGTACCCACCGTGTTATTACGATTTCACTAGTCACAGAAGTGGTAAAGCTTTCAATGTATGAGGGGTGGTATCATACTACTGGGATGCTGATGAAAGGGCAGGTTGTTTTCAGATTCATGAGATATGTTTGTGGGTTCTGATTTAGACAAGGGCCCTGTTTTGTTCTCTAGTCTGAAGGAGGGTTTGGTGAGATTCATTTCCAATTGTGCCTTTTCAAGATGTGCCATTATGCCTGCATGTGTATTTCTGTTGTTTACCTGGAGTTTACCTGGAGAGAGTTTCGGGTGTCAACGCCCCCGCGGCCCGGTCTGTAGTTGTACTAGTTTAAATTCCTGATATCCAAAGACTAGTCTGGGAAGGGAAAGGGAAGGGGATGGAGGGTCTTAAGGGTTATGAAATCGTGGAAAGATCAATAAAGGTGCCACGTGGTGAAGAGGTGGGAATTTCACTGTATAAGGGTTAAAGAAATTGAGAGAATAGGACAGACACCTTATGGTCAGGCGGCTGGCAGTGTGTGGAGTATGTGAGGGAAAATCAGAATTTGTGATGAAGCATGACAAAAGCACTCTGCTATGAAATACGAGAGGAAAGCATTGTGGGTGATTGAAAATGGCAGGAAAAACCATTGTGTGAATTTAGGACAAAAAAAATTGTGAGAAGAAAACAATCATGTGTGATAGTAATATGACACGAAAACCATTTTGGGTGGAATATAATAGGAAAACTATACTAATAGACGAAGTATGACAGGAAAAACATCCCACAAGTTTTACCAAAAAATTTACCTTTGTAAACAGTGAGCAGCAGTGAGCACAAAGTGAGGAGAGATCAGAGTGCCTCCACAAAAATAAACGACATTATTCCCTGTTTTGGTGCTCAGGAGGGCCTGTGGAAAGACAATGTTTATGCATGTAAATTGTGTACACATACGCTTTTATTACGGTACATAGATGTATTAGTAATACATATATAAGGTGCGTTACTGATGCTACAAGGGGAGGTTTTTCGTCTTGTGTGATTTTTCTTCTCATTTTATTTTATATATATATAATATATATATATATATAATATATATATATATATATATATTATATATATATATATATATATATATATATATATATATATATATATATATGCAAAACAACCACTGTGAAAGAATAGAGAAATTCCAAGCGCTTTCGTGACTACTCACATTATCAAGGAACTATCATAGTTCCTTGATAATGTGAGTAACCACGAAAGCGCTTGGAATTTCTCTATTCTTTCACAGCGGTTGTTTTGCATATTCTGAAATCACCTGTTTACTGTGATCTTATTGCATATATATATATATATATATATATATATATATATATATATATATATATATATATATATATTATATATATATATATATATATATATATATATATATATTGTTTTTTTTTCAACAAGTCGGTCGTCTCCCACCGAGGCAGGGTGACCCAAAAAAAGAAAGAAAATCCCCAAAAAGAAAATACTTTCATCATTCAACACTTTCACCACACTCACACATTATCACTGTTTTTGCAGAGGTGCTCAGAATACAACAGTTTAGAAGCATATTCGTATAAAGATACACAACATATCCCTCCAAACTGCCAATATCCCAAACCCCTCCTTTAAAGTGCAGGCATTGTACTTCACATTTCCAGGACTCAAGTCCGACTATATGAAAATAACCGGTTTCCCTGAATCCCTTCACTAAATATTACCCTGCTCACACTCCAACAGATCGTCAGGTCCCAAGTATCATTCGTCTCCATTCACTCCTATCTAACACGCTCATGCACGCTTGCTGGAAGTCCAAGCCCCTCGCCCACAAAACCTCCTTTACTCCCCATTTCCAGGACTCAAGTCCGACTATATGAAAATAACCGGTTTCCTTGAATCCCTTCACTAAATATTACCCTGCTCACACTCCAACAGATCGTCAGGTCCCAAGTATCATTCGTCTCCATTCACTCCTATCTAACACGCTCATGCACGCTTGCTGGAAGTCCAAACCCCTCGCTCACAAAACCTCCTTTACTCCCTCTTTCCAACCCTTTCGAGGACGACCTCTACCCCTCTTTCCTTCCCCTATAGATTTATATGCTTTCCATGTCATTCTACTTTGATCCACTCTCTCTAAATGACCAAACCACCTCAACAACCCCTATTCTGCCCTCTGACTAATGCTTTTATTAACTCCACACCTTCTCCTAATTTCCACACTCCGAATTTTCTGCATAATATTTACACCACACATTGCCCTTAGACAGGACATCTCCACTGCCTCCAACCGTCTCCTCGCTGCTGCATTTACCACCCAAGCTTCACATCCATATAAGAGTGTTGGTACTACTATACTTTCATACATTACCTTCTTTGCCTCCATAGATAACGTTTTTTTGACTCCACATATACCTCAACGCACCACTCACCTTTTTTCCCTCATCAATTCTATGATTAACCTTATCCTTCATAAATCCATCCGCCGACACGTCAACTCCCAAGTATCTGAAAACATTCACTTCTTCCATATTCCTCCTCCCCAATTTGATATCCAATTTTTCTTTATCTAAATCATTTGATACCCTCATCACCTTACTCTTTTCTATGTTCACTTTCAACTTTCTACCTTTACACACATTCCCAAACTCATCCACTAACCTTTGCAATTTTTCTTTAGAATCTCCCATAAGCACAGTATCATCAGCAAAAAGTAACTTCGTCAATTCCAATTTTGAATTTGATTCCCCATAATTTAATCCCACCCCCTCTCCCAACCACCCTAGCATTTACTTCTTTTACAACCCCATCTATAAATATATTAAACAACCATTGTGACATTACACATCCCTGTCTAAGACTTACTTTTACCGGGAAGTATTCTCCCTCTCTTCTACACACCTAACCTGAGCCTCACTATCCTCATAAAAGCTCTTTACAGCATTTAGATCATTTGCTTGGATTACCATTTCCGAATTAATGACAGGCATAATTCTTCAGCACATGTCTGTTCTGTGGCTTAGACCACCACTTGTCACACAGGAAATGGACCAGTGAAATTTGCTTATAAGTGAAAAGCGGCTACTACCGTATGTTGTATATATTAAAATGGCATTTGTAGTGACAAAGAGAAGGGAAATTTAGTGATTTAGTAATTTAAAAAAGAAATCATTTAAGACGTGGATGATAATCACTCATTTTTTTTTTTTTTTTGGATAATAAAAGATACTTCCAGAAATAGGACAGTGTTACATTGAAGTGTCGTCAATCAATGTGCTACTTACAATGAGTACAAACCAGCGTTACTAACAACGAGTACAAACCAGTGTTACCTACAATGGGAGGCAGTTCACCCAGCTTTGCGTTTCCACCACCGAAAATGAGCGGAGTTTCCTGAACACACTCGCCATTATCCCGTCGCCAGAACTGTCTCCACGACCTGCAAACTATAACCTACACTTACTTCATCTTATTACATATTATCTTATTATACACTAGCTTATTACACAATGTTATCTGGAACTTCAGTTATTTGCTTAGGTTAACGTTTATTACTGCACGAGGGTCATTAAAGCTAAAATTTACTATCAAGAAAACTGCAATTCACAAAATATTGAGTAACCTGAAGAAGAAAAAGAAAAAGAAGGGGAGAACTACTTTCATCCTAATGAATTATTATAATCAAGGGGGAAGCGCTAAACCCGGAGGATTATACAGCGCCTGGGGGGGGGGGATGTGGAAGGCATTCAGGCTTAATTTGGGGAACTGGAGCACAGATCCAATTCCCTAAATCAAGAGCCCCTCACCAACATCAAGGAACCTTCCTTGAGGGGTCATCCTAATGAAGACCATTTAATCCAAGGATGAAGCTACCTTCCTCTTCCTCGGATCAAAATTATATTCGATTTCCCAGATGCTGAGTGACCCTTACGTGTTTAGCGGTTCTCACCGATGATGATAATAAAAATACAGAACCACTAACACTTGTGAATAACTCTAACCTTTCTAGGTTTAAAGACTATCGACTGCACGAGGGTTATTTACGGCAGCACTCCGACTGAACAATTAGTAACCTAGTGACTACCTTTAGACTTATGAAAGGTATTAAAATATTTTCATTGTCTGATTGACTGGTTCTCTAAGTCTGACTGTCTGGCTCTGACCGGTTAAAAGCAAAGGTACCTGGTATGATACTGATGAAATGTAGAACAAACACACGAATGTAAAACTACATTTTATTTAAAACTCTACTGGACTGATAAATCCCTCAACGGGCGAAACGTCTCCCAATAAAATGAATATTTACCACAAGTAAAATAAATGTTCATCTAGCAGCAAGTAGGTACCTGAGTGTTAGCCGACTGGTGTGGGAGACATCCTGGGGAACAAGATTGATTAAGTTGCCCGAAATGCTCTCCATAACCAAGGGCTTTCTATACAATATGTCAGTCATGTCAGCTACATCTGTATAAGTTTCATCATGGACCTGTAAAAATAATTATTATTAACTCACGTTCATCAGCGATGCGGCGTGGCTTGCGACAACACACATAGATCTTGGAGTCTCTCTTTAAGCAGAGTTTAACTTTACCATCTCTCCTCACCACGCCACCGTCCTGCAGACAAGACTCGACCTCTTCACACCGACCCATGACATCCCCGCCCATTTTACACGGGTCACCGGGGAAACCATTTCCTTCCACAGCTGAAAAAGAATGAACATTCATTAGAGATGACAATTTAATGTTTAGGAACGTGGAAAGTAATAGGTTCGATCCAAGGAAGGGAAAATCAGATCCAATTTGTTATATCAAGAGCCCCTCACCGGCTTCCCTGAGGGATACATGTGTGCATCCATGCATATACAACACACACACGTACACACAAAGCACATAGGGAAACAGATACATAGACAAAATACAGTAGGTGTACTATCAGCACGTAAGGATATCCGGCAGGTCACGTGTGTTTATCATTAGTGTGACATCTCATATAAATAAGAAAACAGGAGCACTGCTTGGGTCTGCTGGCCCATGCTAGGCAGGTCCAACTCACATTCACCCACGCCCATTCTTAAAACTACACAAGATTTTCGCTTCAATGAAGCTACTCGGGAGTTTGTTCCACTCATCAATAATTATATTATCAAACCAGTTTATGTTGGTTCCCACAGCGCCGCCACTCAACACTCGCTCTGTCAGACCTCAAATATGTAAATGTCAAGAGTGTCATGCAAATAGAAAAAATTTTAAATATGTATGAAATGTACCTGTAAGGGGCTAAATGAAAAAGCAATGTGTCAGTGTGAGCATTAAAACAAGAGTTGTAAGAACATAGTTAATTGATGTTAAAGCATATCGACATTAAGGTTATTAAGGCCGTATGTGACCTTTTTAATACCTGACAATAATACTTAAATACCTAAAATAGTGATTAAACTCTCAGTATATAAACATACGCAGAGTGAAATGCATCTCGGTGATCCGAGTAGGTCAGGGAAAGATTTTTCTGTCTCCTGATGGGTCTTAGTTTTATAACTTGTTATTGGAGCTTTTGGTCATCTGACCGAGGCCTTCCGCTGGCTTTCACCCCTTTAAAAATTAAGGTGTAAATATGTGAACAGAGTACCGCAGTAGGCCTATTGTAAGAAAGTAGTAAAAACCGACTGGAGAGAATAAGGCATGAATACCTACTGCCTTCCTTGCAACCCACTCTTCTCGCTTATGTTTCTAATTCTCCCCAAGTAATAATCATCAATAAAGCGACTTCTCTGACTGTTCCGCTCACCTATAGCTCTACTGTTATTGCATTTCATAAGGCATTAAACCCGTATGGGTCATTCAGGGCAAGGAATGGGAAAGGCTTGATCCTCATTTCACTAAATGTATTAATTTTTTAATCCATTCTGTTTTTTTCCTCGGAGATCACAGTAGCCTAATGTATCTCCTTTATTTACACCTGTCTTCCAATTGTATACACCAGTCATCTCTTCTTTATTCACCTCCCCGTCCTCCACTTGTACACATCAATATCTTCTTCATTCACCCGTCTTACACTTGTATACATCAATATCTTCTTCATTCACCTGCCTTTCACTTGTATACATCAATATCTTCCTCATTCACCTGTCTTACACTTGTATACATCAATATCTTCCTCATTCACCCGTCTTACACTTCTATACATTAATATCTTCTTCATTCACCTGTCTTACACTTGTATACATCAATATCTTCCTCATTCACCTGTCTTACACTTGTATACATCAACACATCGCTTATTCTACGTCTGTAAGAGAGTAGCTTCAAGGTTCTTAATTACATGCAACCCTTCATACGGGTAATTATTTTTTTACGGAATAAACCTTGATAACTGATACCGACAAATTGGTTTATAAAAACACCTGAGCAAACACTAGCACATATTAGAAAACGTTTCGTCCTGGGATCTTGACCACTTCTAACACAAACGATATATAGAAGCGGGGTATGAATGACATTTTCCAAGTCATTGTGTCACTCACGTCACACTCAGCCTATATATACTGTTAACTTTTTGGTCCCAAGACCGAAAGGTTTTCAAATAAATATGTCCTAGTGTTTGCTCAGGTATCTTTTTAATTTTTTTTAACCCTGTTATTTTTTTTCAATAGATTTTGCACTCTGAAAAATCTATTGGACATATTATTATTACAATCAAGGGGGAAGCGCTAAACCCGGAGGATTATACAGCGCCTGGGGGGGTATGTGGAAGGCATTCAGGCTTAATTTGGGGAACTGGAGCACAGATCCAATTCCCTAAATCAAGAGCCCCTCACCAACATCAAGGAACCTTCCTTGAGGGGCTATTGGACATAATGACCAGAATTACATCACATTTTCTATCCCTCCTACTAGGAGAGACTTAACTATCCATGATGTTAGTAAATATAAACATTATTATTTAACCAGATTAATAATATGCACCTTTGTGCCTAGTATTTATTTATTTATTTATAAATTTGAACATGATACAGAGAAGTACGTATATTTATATAATGTTCTCGGTATTTAATTTTCACGAAAATATACAAATATTTGGATGGAAACAGATGTGACAAAGGGTACTGTATGGCGTAGACAAAAGATGGTTAAAAAAAAAAGAAATAGGAAAAGATTTTGTATCCAGTTACACCTTAATGAGCCTTGATGAAGCCTCATTAAGTCATAATAAAAGGTTTACATTTTCCTGCATGCGTCTCTTCTTAATCAGGTAAAACAAAAGAACCAATTACTTACTTACAGCGCCACCTCCATGAAGTTGTAACGAAATTACGAACAACAATACAAGAGAGAAGTTGTTCATGACGGATCTCAGAGAGACGTTCACCTGAGACTGACCTGCCAGTATATTGTGTTGCTGCTCTCGTACCTCACTCACTCTATTGTTGTACCTCAACTATTATTGTACTTCAAGCACTGTATTGTTGTACCTCAAGCACTGTATTGTTGTACCTCAAGCACTGTATTGTTGTACCTCAAGCACTGTATTGTTGTACCTCAAGCACTGTATTGTTGTACCTCAAGCACTGTATTGTTGTACCTCAAGCACTGTACTTTTGTATCTCAAGCACCGTATTGTTGTACCTCAAGCACTGTATTTTTGTACCTCAACTATTATTGTACTTCAAGCACTGTATTGTTGTACCTCAAGCACTGTATTGTTGTACCTTAAGCACTATATTGTTGTACCTCATGCACTGTATTGTTGTACCTCAAGCACTGTATTGTTGTATCTCAAGCACTGTATTGTTGTACCTCAAGCACTGTACTTTTGTATCTCAAGCACCGTATTGTTGTACCTCAAGCACTGTATTGTTGTACCTCAAGCACTGTATTGTTGTATCTCAAGCACTGTATTGTTGTACCTCAAGCACTGTACTGTTGTATCTCAAGCACTGTATTGTTGTACCTCAATCACTGTATTGTTGTACCTCAAGCACTGTATTGTTGTACCTCAAGCACTGTACTTTTGTATCTCAAGCACCGTATTGTTGTACCTCAAGCACTGTATTTTTGTACCTCAACTATTATTGTACTTCAAGCACTGTATTGTTGTACCTCAAGCACTGTATTGTTGTACCTCAAGCACTGTACTGTTGTATCTCAAGCACTGTATTGTTGTATCTCAAGCACTGTATTGTTGTACCTCAAGCACTGTATTGTTGTACCTCAAGCACTGTATTGCTGTACCTCAAGCACTGTTGTTGCACATCAACTACTCTTGTTGAACAGCAACCACTGTTGTTGCACATCAACAACTGTTGTTGAACATCAACCACTGTTGTTGCACATCAACCACTGTTGCTGCACATCATCAACCACTGCTGTTGAACATCAACCACTGTTGTTGCACATCAACCAATGTTGTTGCACATCAACCACTGTTGTTGAACATCAAACATTGTTGTTGCACATCAACCACTATTGTTGAACATCAACCAATGTTGTTGCACATCAACCACTGTTGTTGAACATCAAACATGTTGTTGCACATCAAACCATATTGTTAAACACAACCTGTTGTTGCACATCAACCACTGTTGTTGAACATCAACCATTGTTGTTGCACATCAACCACTTTTGTTGACTCAACACTGTTGTTGCACATCAACCAATGTTGGTTGAAAATCAACCACTGTTGTTGACTTTCAACCACTTTTGTTGAACATCAACCACGCTGTTGAACATCAACCACTGTTGTTGCACATCAACCACTTTGTGCACATCAACTACTGTTGTTGCACATCAACCACTGTTGTTGAACATCAACCATTGTTGTTGAACATCAACCACTGTTGTTGCACATCAACCACTGTTGTTGAACATCAACCACTGTTGTTGCACATCAACCACTGTGTTGAACATCAACCACTGTTGTTGCACCCCAAAACCACTGTTGTTGCACATCAACCACTGTTGTTGCACATCAACCATTGTTGTTGCACATCAACCACTGTTGTTGCACATCAACCACTATTGTTGAACATCAACCACTGTTGTTGAACATCAACCATTGTTGTTGCACATCAACCATTGTTGTTGAACATCAACCACTTTTGGGTTGCACATCAACCATATTGTTGACATCAACCATGTTGTTGACCATCCAACACTATTGTGAACATCACCACTGTTGTTGCACATCAACCACTGTTGTTGCACATCAACCACTGCTGTTGCACATCAACCACTGTTGTTGCTCACCAACCACTGTTGTTGGACATCAACCACTGTTGTTGAACATCAACCATTGTTGTTGCACATCAACCATTGTTGTTGCACATAAACCATGTTGTTCCCACATCAACCACTGTTGTTGCACATCAACCCAAATATTGTTGAAATCAACCCTGTTGTTGCCATCAACCACTATTGTTGAACATCAACCATTGTTGTTGCACATCAACCACTGTTGTTGAACATCAATCACTGTTGTTGCACATCAACCACTATTGTTGAACATCAACCACTGTTGTTGCACATCAACCACTGTTGTTGAACATCAACCATTGTTGTTGCACATCAACCACTGTTGTTGAACATCAATCACTTGTTGTTGCCCACATCCAACCATTTATTGTTTGACAATCAACCACTGTTGTTGCACATCAACCACTATTGTTGAACATCAACCATTGTTGTTGCACATCAACCACTGTTGTTGAACATCAATCACTGTTGTTGCACCCTTCTCCTGCATTATTCTTACCGAGACCTGGCTAAAACAGGACACAATAGATATCTACCCTCTACCAGGATACACAGCAATCCACAACTGCAGACCATACCAAGTTGGGGGTGGTATTGCAATCTATTACTCTAACCAATTATCTTGTATCAGCACCAATTGCTTTAGTGATGAATATGGAGAATACATTTTTGCTAATTTTACTGTAAAAAACCTTAAGACGCCTATAACAATCGGTGCCATTTACCGGATACCCCACACTAACATCCCAAACTTCAGTGAGAAATTAAAGGCACTAACAACAAGCAGACAAATGAATAAGCACACCTTCTCTTAGCTGGAGACTTCAAAATCAACCTTGGGCCTACTAGATTTATCAGCCTGTAACTGATTTCTTCAACAATATGAAACAACACACTTCTCGTACCAAAAATAACTAAACCAACCAGGGTCACTGAAACAAGTGCAAACCCTAATAGACCACATATGGACCAATATACTAGCCCCCTTAAATCAGGGATAATCACAGATAGCACTACAGACCACTACCCTACCTTCCTCTTGACAAACATTAGTAAACCACCACTTGAATAAAACCCAAAAAAGTCTCATTTAGACTCCATGATGAGGCCTCAATAAGGGAAATTCACAGCTGACCTAGAGACTGTTGACTGGCCTACAGAATTCTCCAGGCCAATGGTATTGGCGACTGGACAGACATTTTTCTTAACAAACTACTTAGACTATCAACAAACATTGTCCTATAAAAACGAAACAGATCACAAACAAACGGCTTGGTTGCCCATGGCTAACCAGCACCATTCTGAAATCCATTGACAAGAAACACCAATATGAAAAGCAATATAGACAGGGCTTAATACACAAAGATATTCTTAAACACTATTCATCAGTCCTCACCAAAGTAATAAAGAAAGCCAAACAACTATACTACTCCAGTAGATTCACTGACACAAGAGGAGATATAAAAAAGACCTGGAAAACACTCTCTCAGATTCTAGGGACCCACAAACTGAAAAAAAACAAGAATATTGTCCTAACTAAACCTAATGAAACACCACTGCAACCCACCAACACAGCTAACAAGATAAACGACTTCTTCTCAACCATAGGTTCTAATCTCGCCAATAAAATCCCACGTACCAATGCCCATGCCGGGGACTACCTAGATGGGAATTTCCCAAATTCCTTCTATCTTGCTCCAACTGAGCCCACGGAAGTCACCGAGATTATAAAGTCACTTAAAAATAACTCAGGGAATCTGTCTCATGTCCCACCATTATTGTACAAGAGAGTGGCCCATGTCCTCTCGCATACTATCTCATTGCTTTTTAACAAGTCACTAGAAGCTAGCACCTTCCCGAAACTACTCAAGACGGCAAGGGTTACACCAATACATAAAGGTGGTGACCCTACAGATTTAAACAACTATAGGCCAATATCAAACTTACCATTGCTATCCAAAATCTTTGAGAAACTCGTGCACAGGAGACTTTATTCATTTATAACGTCACAAAACATACTCAACCCCTGCCAATTTGGATTCAGGAAAAATAAAAGCACTAACGATGCAATTATAAAAATGCTAGATCTGCTTTACACAGCATTGGAAAATAAGGAATATCCACTAGGAATTTTTATTGACCTAAGAAAAGCTTTTGACACAGTAGACCACGGCATCCTACTTCACAAACTTGACCATTATGGTATAAGAGGCCATGCGCTTGCATATTTCAAATCTTACCTTACTAATAGGTATCAGTATGTCACCATTAAAGACACAGCATCAACAACACAGCCACTTGATACTGGAGTTCCGCAGGGAAGTGTCCTTGGTCCCCTGCTCTTCCTCATATACATCAATGATCTTCCGAACGTATCTCGACACCTGAACCCCATTCTCTTTGCTGACGACACGACTTATGTCATCTCTCACCCTAATCTTGCAACCCTCAACACCATTGTTAATGAGGAGCTGATCAAAATATCGACTTGGATGACAGCCAATAAACTTACGCTTAACGTCGACAAAACCTACTACATTATGTTTGGTAGCAGAGCAGGAGATGCGCAAATTAACATTAAGATCGACAGCACTCTAATTGCCAGGCATAATGAGGGCAAATTCCTAGGCCTATACCTCGACAACAACCTGAACTTCAGCACCCATATCCAACACATAACCAAAAAAGTATTCAAAACGGGTGGGATCCTCTCCAAGATACGATACTACGTGCCGCAAACTGCCCTTCTCACACTATACCATTCACTTATATATCCATACCTCACCTATGTTATTTGTGCTTGGGGTTCAACTGCAGCAACACACCTAAAGCCAATAATAACCCAACAAAAAGCCGCAGTAAGAATAATCACTAAATCCCATCCCTGACAACACCCCCCCCCCACTCTTCATAGATCTAAACTTACTTCCTGTTCAGTACATCCACACTTACTACTGTGCAATCTACATCTACAGGACCTTAAATTCCAATATTAACCTTACCTAAAAACGCTTTCTTGATAGTTGTGACAGAACCCACAGGCAAAAACACCAGACACAAACATCTCTATGACATTCCCGTGTCCGACTAAACCTTTATAAAAATTCAATGTATGTCAAAGGCCCTAAAATCTGGAACACCCTACCTGAA